CTGTCTGTGAGCAGCATGGCACAGTTCGCTAGAGTCCTTTGCAATCTGCTCATGCAAGTACACGGAGTGGCTGTCATGGTCTGCTGGAGATGCCTGGCAGGGTGGGAAAGCCCTGTGATCTGGCTCTGCTACTTCCCTGACATCTTACTCCCTATCCCTTCCTCTCGTCTCCAGCCACACCATGTCCTTGCTCTTCTTGAAACACCAGGCAGGGCAGGTATGGTGGCTCATGCCTGTAAATCCCAGCTCTCTAGGAGGCCAAGGTAGATGGATCACCGGAACTCAGGAGTTCGAGACCAGCATGAATAAGAACAATACCTCAGGCAGTGCCTATGTCTCAGTGAGTAGGGTGCCGGCCCCATATACCAAGGGTGGCGAGTTCGAATCCAGCTCCAGCTCCCGCCAAACTGCAACAACAACAAAAAAAATAACCAGGCCTTGTGGCAGGTGCCTATAGCCCCAGCAACTCAGGAGGCTGAGGCAAAAGAATTGCCTAAGGCCAAGAGCTGGAGGTTGCTGTGAGCTGTGATGTCACATCACTCTACCAAGGGCAACGGAGAAAGACTCTGTTTCTAAAAAAAAAAAGAAAGAAAGAAAAGAAAAAGAAAAAGACCTTGTCTCTACTAAGTATAGGAAAACTAGCTGGATATTGTGGCAGGTGCCTATAATCCCAGCTCCTAGGAGGCCAAAGCAAGAGGATTACTTGAGCTCAAGAGTTTGAGGTTGCTGTGAGCTATGATACCTTAGCACTCTACTCAGGTGACAGAGTGAGAGTCTGACTCAGAAGAAAAAAAAAAAAAAAAGAACGAAACAGTGGTACCAGGCACCCTCTCCCCTCCCTGGGCATGAGCCTGCTGTTCTCCCTCCTCAAGTGCTCTTTCTCCAGATACACACCTAACTTGCGTCCTCCCCTCCTAAACATCTTTAAGTAAAGATTTTCTTCTCAGAAGAGGTTTTTCCTGACACCTCTGTTCAAAGCAGCAACACCTCCACGCCAGCACTGTCTCTGCTTTTTCTGCCCATGAGACATCACCACCCCCTGAAGGTTTCTGCAGCCTGCACCCTGCCGAAGAGGACCCCCGGCAGGAGGCGGTTTCGTCTGTCTCTCCCCCAACTGTCTCTGGGATCTAGATCAGCATCCCAAGCACAGGACATGCCCAATGCGGGGGAAGGTGGAAGGGAAGAAGGAAAGGGAGGCCGGCTGGCCGAGCCCAGGAACAAGCCTGGGGTGTAGCTAACACCCCACCAGCTGCACCCATGACGTGGAGGTATGATTTTTGAGATCAAGCAGAAATAGTAAAGAGCGCATCACTGATGTGTAGACACACAGGGGCCTGTTTGATCTCACAAGAGGCTGTTTCCTCTCCCCCTGTGGTTTGTCACTTCACTTCTCTGTGGTCGTGAAAACTGAAGCACTGCAGTTGCCAGGAAGTTTCTGGAACTGTCTCAATGGGGAACATCTCTAAACCACTCAACTCACTCACATACGCTAGCACCAAAGCTAGTTATTTGCAACACCAACTGCCAACCAGAATGTCAGGGAAGGACAAACCCCATTGTGGAATTCCATGGAGGCTGGGAGGGGAGAATCGTCCTTCCTTTCATCTATATTAGTCGTGGCCTGTGATAATGAGCCCATGGAACCCCTGTAATTATTCCTGCGCGTAAAAGGACACAGTGGGCACAGGAAAATAAATTTCTTCCCTTTGTGAGCAACCATTATGGAGCTCTAGCTGAGCTCTTCCATTTGCAGAAGTGCATTTCCAAACACGTGTGGAATATACAGTTCTGGGCACAGACATAGGACTCAGATAGTCCTGGAGTTAGATTCTGGCTCTGACACTTGCTAGCTGGATGACATTAGGCAAGTCATTAAAACTCCTCAAGCCTCTGTTTCATTCTGGAAAGAAGCAATGTTAAAAATAATTATAACAACGCTAATAAACCTAAACAATAATTATGACAGTAAATGCCTGTTAGGTATTAGTGATGGCCCGGTCCTGGGCTAAGAGCTTTCTTTCTGGCTGGGTGCCTGTAGCACAGTGGTGGTGCCAGCCACATACACCAAGAGAGGTGGGTTTGAATCCAGCCTGGGCCAGCTAAACAATGACAACTACAACAAAAAGTAGCCAGGTGTTGTGGCGGGCGCCTGTAGTCCTAGCTACTTAGGAAGCCAAGGCAAGAGAATCGCTTAAGCCCAAGAGTTTGAGGTTAACCTGAATGCACACAAAGCCATCACGGATCGTGTACCACACAAGTATCAGATGAGTACATGCTGTGTGTGTGCCAGGCATGGTGCTGGACATGGCTTTCCCATGGTTCTTTTGTACCATGTGGCAGACTCTGGATCCTCAGGCAGTGGGACGGGTCCAACCCAAACAGCAGGACTGGAGGAGGACCAGGCCAGGAGGAAGCAGGGAAGGCACAACCACACTGCAAGGGCTCCTAGAAGTCCGACCAGCTACAGTCCTGTCCTCCCCTCCTCTACAAACGTGCCACCCCGCAGCACCAATTGGTACTTGAGTAGCAGGAACCTCAACCATGGAAGGGAAGAATCATCCATGGTGTCTGTTTGGCACTTCCTAGGGTGGAAAAAGGATAACACAGGGTTCTTGTTTAAGAAAAAAAGCTTAAAAAAACAGCTGAGTTAAAAGAGAAAATCAAATGACTCAGAATAAATTGTTCTTGAAGGAACCTGCTTATTCCAGGTTTTCTGCATTTAGCCTACAGAAGAGAAAATAGTCACCAGGCTCCATCTACCATCACTGACCAGCTCCTCAGCACAGGGCACCTTCCCAAAGGGACATCACACCAGAAAGCACCCTAAGCCACCCTTCCAGGGAGAGTGGGACACTCCCTACACTCAACTGTATCCACCCATACTTCACACCTGTTTGCCAGAGTCCCATCCTTCGTGCCAACTTAAATACTGCCTCACATATGCCCTCATTCCCTGCCTCCCACTGCGATTCAAGGAGGCCAGACCGAGATGATTTGTGGGGCAGCTCTGAGATGTGGCTGCCTCTTGTGCTGTGTTCTGCGAGGGACAGGACTGTCTCCAGGTAGATCACAGCTGGAGGGAAGAGTCACCTTCTCACCCATCTCTATTTCCAATACCCATCTCGAAAGTGCCTGACCTACAGCAGAATTTAAATATTTGTCTTCATTCAACAAAGATGAATAAAGTGCTAAAATAGTTTAATGGCCTTAGCTTTAAAAAAAAAGTCCTTCTGATCTGAATATGTTAGCATATCAAAGCCCAGAAGCCCACTCATTTTTTTCTGGTCAGATAATAGGTAAAAAGAAGATGAATATTCGTTTCACAACATCATTAAAGATGTCACCTCCTCTCATTGACCTAGTTTAATAATCAACCTAATTTGCACTTTGCTTAGTAGAAACATGTATTTCAAATTTGTAAATAACTGTAAAAAAAAAAACATAAAATTTTTACAAAAATATTTTATAAACGTTAATGCTGATGAAAAAAATAGTTAAAGACATTTAATGGGTAGTGGGGTCTAACATGGTAAAGGCTTCCTAAAGAAATGACTATGACATCCTCCTAATATCCTGGGTCCCATTCCCCAGGGAAACCCAAATATATGGTATAATCAAGAAGCTTTGGTTCTAAAAACAAAACTAAAAATCCCAGTTAAATACCAATTTTTTATGCAATTGTAACACTAACATGGAATATAAAAAATAAAAAAATCCTTATTTCAACATGGAAATCTACTTCAGTGTCAGTAAAAAGGACATTTTTCAAAACAACTCAGTAGAGTCTGGGCATGGTGGCTCATGCCTCTAATCATAACATCCTCAGAAGCCAAGGCAAGAGGATCCATTGAGCTCAGGAGTTTGAGACCAGCCTGAGCAGAAGTGAGACTCCCTCTCTACTCAAAAGAGAAAAACTAGCCAGGTGTTGTGGTGGGTGCCTGTAGTCCCAGCTACTCAGCAGCTAAGGCAGGAGGATCTCTTAAACCAAAGAGTTTGAAGTTGCTGTGAGCTATGAAGAGGCTACAGCTCAGGGTGACAGAGTTAGACTGTCTCAAAAAAATAAAAAATAAAAAATAACAACTAATTAAATGTATCATTCAAATCATTGAATTTAAATTAAATCCATCTTAAAAATATAAGATGCTGGTGGCACCTGTGGCTCAGTGAGTAGGGTGCTGGACCCATATACCAAGGGTGGTGGGTTCGAACGCACCCAGCCCTGGCCAAACTGCAACAACAACAACAGCAGCATATAGCCAGGTGTTGTGCCAGGCTCCTGTGGTCCCAGCTACTCAGGCGGCTGAGGCAGGAGAATCACCTAAGCCCAAGAGCTGGATGTTGCTGTAGGCTATGATGCCCCAGCACTCTACTGAGGGCAACAAAGTGACACTCTGTCTCTAAAAAAAAAAAAAAAAAAAGATATATATATATATACACACACACACACACACACACACACACACATATATATAATGATGTATCCTATAATTGTATTTGGCTGACATCTTATTAGAATACTAAAACTTGGCTAAAATTTTAAAATACATATGAAGTTGCTCATCACAGAGAAACATACTTTCATACCTTTCTTAGGAACAATAATAATAATATGCATGGTTTGTCCACATGTATAACTGGGCAAGGGAATAGTGAGAGAGAGGAAAACACACACTTAAACAAAAGTTCCAAGAAAAATTACGCTCTTAATTGCTTTTCCAGGAGATGGAAAAAAGACAACTCATCCAATAGGGCTTTTAACGTCCTAAAGTACCCCAGAAAGGCTGTTTGTAATAGATTTAAAATACATAGAGGTCAACCCTAAAACTAATGGGAACACTGGGGGGCAATCGATACTGCATTAATTTAAATTCTTGTAAATGACATTTTCCCCCATCCAAGCTAACCACAAAAATAACTCCTAGCCAAATTTTCCAAGGGCACCAAACGCTCTTTAAAAGAAAAAAGAACCTGGAAAAGGCCCAGCTCCAGCCTGGTCTCACCTCTGGCTCTTCCGAGGCATCCCCTCCCAGGGGAGTTTTGTGAGGATCGAAGATGCCGCAGTGCCCGGCCACCTGCCTCTCCTCAGCGGGAGAGACGAAGATCTCTTCTGAGTCCGTTTCCACCACGTGGAGGTGGCTGGCTTCTTCCTGGCTCCAATCCAATTCTTCTTCAGACTGTTTCAAAGAGCTACTGCTACTCTTGGGAATGATGCCTGCTGTGGACAGGCTGCTGGGCACCGAGGTGTAGGAGGACTGGGGTCCGGAGTAAGGGCGACCCTCGGGGGCCAGGGCCTCGGCCTCCAGGAGGTCAGGCACCGAGAGGCTGAGGCGGCGGTCCAGGTGGTTCCCTTCCCTTAAGTTCGGGGGTTTATTTGGGTTCTTTTTCACCTTCTTCTTGCTCAAGTTGATTAACAGCGGCCTGGTCCGCTGTTTGAATGAACCCCACACGGAAGGTTTATCGAGATCCATGGCAGCATGAAGACCCGAGAAGCCCCTTGCCAACAGAGAGTCCGTCTATGGAAAACCACCGCGGGGACGCCTACAAAACAGAATGACAGGAAAGAAATCATAAGCCTTCGTGTGGTGGGAGGGCACCTGGCGAAATGGAAACGTGACAAGCCTCTCAGCAAGATGAAAACCTTTGGTTGGTAACGTCTACAAAGATTAGGAAAAGCATTTTTCAAGGAATGTAATTTTTAAGAATTTTAGCTGAGCAGTTACAGAAACATTAAAGCAATGAATAAGGTTGGCCTGAGAATAGTCCTTCATAAAAAGGCTACTCTTACTTCCTCCCCAGGGAAGGCCGAGCTAAATTAAAGACAGAGCAATAACAGTAGGCCCATGGTCAGGGGCAGGGATGTTCTACTTCTCTAAAGCATGATCAGCAAACAGTCTCACACAGGGCCAGCGATGAAGTATTTTAGACTTTGTGGGCCACGTGATGTCTGTCACAACAATTTAACTGTGCTGTTGTGACATCAAAGGAGAAAAACAATATCTAAATGAAAGCATGTGGCTGTGCATTAATAAAATTTTATTTATAAACACAGGTAGCAGAGTGGAGTTTGCAGATCCTTGCTTTTTTTTTTTGAGACAGAGCCTCAAGCTGTCCCCCTGGGTAGAGTGCCATGGCATCACAGCTCACAGCAACCTCCAACTCCTGGGCTCAAGCGAGTCTCCTGCCTCCAACTCTCAAATAGCTGGGACCACAGGCGCCTGCCACTACGTCTGGCTATTTTTTTGGTTGCAGCCGTCGTTGTTGTTTGGCAGGCCCAGGCTGGATTGGAATCCACAACATTAGGTGTATATGGCTGGCACCTTAGCCACTTGAGCCACAGGTGCCGAGCCAGATCCCTGCTTTAAATACGTCTTCCTTTCTAGAGTTATGTGTACATTTTAAAGGGCAAAATATCTGCTCATATCAACTAGGATTCCATGTAGTATCTTTGAAAATCTAGGATTCCATCTAGAATCTTTGAAATTTATATTCACATAAAGATGATTAGAAAGAAAAACCTTATTTTTTAAATGAGAGTCTGTCCTTATCCAGAAGAACTGACAAAACTTCTATAATGAACCTTAAAATCAAGCTTCAGAGATTCAGCCTGAGACTATGAGTGGGAGAAAGTCTCAGTAATGGTTGGGTGAGAGGAAGAGGAATGCTTCACAAATACAGTAAATACATAATTACAGAGTATGGTGACTGCAGTGGAGGAAAGTGGTGATTTGAGATATAATAGGTTTAACACATCAGTGGTCAAATCAAAATCAAATTTGGAGAAATAACCCTTATTCTATGTGTCAAACACTTCTTAATAAATCTCTTCAATATGAAAAAGAAAAGCTTGGGCAGCCACCGAGATGTAGCCTGTTTTTACTTTGATACATTTGGCTGAGGAAAAAAAAGAGGTCAAGAGCTTTAACAAAGCGCATTCATGCCTATAATCCCCGCACTCTGCCAGGCTGCAGTGACAGAATTGCTTGAGGCCCAGGAGTTTGAGATCAGCCTGAGCAAGAGCTAGCAAGACCTCTCTACAAAAAAAATATAAAAATGAGCCGGACACAAAGGTGCATGCCTATAGTCCCAGCTACTCAGGAGACAGAGACTGGAGGCGCCCCTGAGCCCAGGTGTTTGAGGTCGCAGTGACCAATGATTGTTTTCCCCTTTGTCTGTCATTATCAGCAATTCACGACGTGCCTGGGTGTGTGCTTCATTGGATCTGTCCTATGTGAGGTTGGCTAAGCTTCTTGAAAAAATAAATATATGTCTTTTTCCAAACTTGTAATGTTTTCAGAGATTATTTCTTTTTTTTTTTTTTTTGAGACAGAGCCTCAAGCTGTCCCCCTGGGCAGAGTGCCATGGCATTACAGCTCACAGCAACCTCCAACTCCTGGGCTCAAGCGAGTCTCCTGCCTCAGCCTCCCAAGTAGCTGGGACCACAGGCGCCCGCCACAACGCCCGACTATTTTTTGGTTGCAGCCATCATCGTTGTTTGGCGGGTCCGGGCTGGGGATTTGAACCCGACAGCTTAGGTGTACGTGGCTGGCGCCTTAGCCGGTTGAGCTATAGGCGCCGAGCCTTCAGAGATTATTTCTTTAAATACCTTATCAGGCCCACTTACTTCTTCTAGACCTCCAATGATACAAATATTATGCCCACTGTTGTCCCACCATCCCCGGGTCTCTGTTCATTATTTTTCACTCTTTTTCTACTTTATGCATACTGAATAATCTCTAGTGATTTATTTTTCATGTTTATTGGCTCTTTCCTCTGTTATGCCCCTTCTCCTACTGAATTTGTACAGGTGGTCTGTGTTCTTTGTGGGGGGTGGACAGGTGGGGAGCAAGACTACTGTATTTTTCACTTCTAAAATTTCCATTTGGTTCAGCTTTACATCTATTTTTTTCTGCTGATATTTTACCTGAATTTCAACATTCATGACTATTCACTATAACCTTTTGGCTACTTGAAAGTCCTATGTTCATGGTCATTGTCGACCGCCTTTTCCCATGTGAGTTGAAGGTTTTTAGACTTCTTTGTACACCTTTGTGACCTTCTGCCTAATTTAAATGTGAAGAGTGTTGATATCATTGTTTTGGCAAACACTTGATCTAGTTAGCTTCTAGCCATAAATTTTAACCTTTCTTCTACAGGCTATGGTTCAGTTTGGTTTTCATAGGCTACCTAGGTCCATTCAGATCTTCCCTGTGTGTGCACAATGTAGAGATCGATCTGGTACTACAGTGGAGATAATGGTTGTATCCATTAACTCACTCTCAAAGTCATGGGTATGCCAGTGAGGATCAGATCCATGCACATGTAAGCTCTGGGTGAGCCCACGGCTTCACAAACAATGAATATGATCACTTCCCAAGCCCTGCCTTCTCCACTGTCTCCTCTGGTACTTGCTGGTTCCCTGTAACTCCCCTTTTCTGTCCTCCAATTAGAAACAAGTTACATCTATGATTGTACCAAGATAGTGGGAAGATAAGGAGAGATTTAGAAAACAAACAAAATTTAAATAAAAATTCACTGGTTTAGCTCTGCCACTCAGAGCTGAGGCTACACCAAATAGGAAGGACGTCTCGTAGCCTAACCTATTATTTCGGCTGCTCCAGTTTCCATTGCTGGTTGCCTTTGCTACCATTGCGATGGCTCAGTGACAAGACTGTAGGGAGCTGAGGCACAAGGAGTCTGGGAAAAAGGAGACAGGGCGGCACCTGTGGCTCTAAAGGGTAGGGCACCGGCCCCAGATGCCCCCATGCGGAGGTGGTGGGTTCAAACTCAGCCCCAGCCAAAAAGAGAGAGAGAGAGAGAGAGACACAAAAGGTTGGGGATTTCCCTGCCTTCTCTTAGTTTTAAAACTTCCCTTTTCTTTTTGTGCCAGACTAGAATGTGCCTCTTCTATCTCTGAGACTCACTGTGCGCCTCTGAATTTGGGGCTACACTGAATTCACGCTGGGGAAACGGCCCAGTTTTATCACGCCCCAGCTCCCTGGTATCCTTTCAGTGGAGCGTGGCAGTAAAAGAAGATGGCAAGAGGGAACTGCAGGAGCCAGAATAATGAATTAGGTTTTCACATCTGTGTTCAGGGGAAGAAAAAAGTTGCAGAATTTTCATCCCATCTTACCCAGAACCAAAACTTTTAGTAAATTTTACAAAAACATACCAACCTAATTTCCAAAGACATAAGACAAAACTGTGTGTACAGGATTACAAACATATAAACACAAGAATAAGGTGCTCTGAATGTGTACAAAGCATTTAAAAATACACTGTGGGACTCTGGTCTCTTTTATGCTTTAAAATATCGCTCTGCCAATGGACAATGTATTTTCCAGAATAAAAGAAAATGTAAATAATAAATCAAAGAAAGTCAGGTTTGAAGTAAAAGGCAAAGGGACAACTATCTGAATATTAAAATATATATATTCCGTTTTCCTCATACCAAAGCATATTTAAACAAACATATTTGTTCTATTTTCTACCATCACACAAGTTCACAGGTTGTTATCATAAATAACCAGAAGGTTACAAATTAAAATGCAACCCATGCTCCTCAAAGCATCCCCGCTTAGAAGATCTCTTCAAAAAACAAGACACCTATGCTGCTACCGTATCTGGTAAACTTCGACATTCATTTAGTGAACAAAAATAAGCATTCTACTCCAAAACCCTGATGCTAAGGCAAGGTCTTTACAGGAAATAGCCCCAAGCCAAGAAGCCTAATGGAAGCTTCATTTATTATGGTTTTAAACCAGACATCCTCCCTAGCTGACTGCTAGCAGTTAGCCAAATGGAAAAAGAACAGAAAACCTTTTAAATACTAGCCCCCAAATTTGATTGAATTGGGATCATAACGCTATCTGAATAAGAACCGCAAGGATGGATAAAGGTTCTCAGAATGACAGCAGCACAATTATACAGGGCATATTACAGCTGTTCAGTAACACAGAATCAAATTGTGTTTCTCAAGGTCCTTTATTAGTGTAAATATGATGAAAAGGGTCTGCTGTCACAATCTAAGTATTAATTCCAACGATCGAGCAGCAAGCAGTTACAAGTCAGAATCTGGTACTGCAGAATCACTACTGCAGTATCTTCCTACTTATCCATCAAGATATTTTTGTTTCTTACTAATGGAAAGAAAACTTCGTATCACATCATATAAAATAGGAAAAAAAGGAAAAACTAAACTAAGTTCAGTAAAACTGAAAATCTCATGTTGCAGGCCAACCTTATGATAAGGATAAAGGCAAATGTAATCCCACCAATTTTTCTGCTTTCTAACAGAACTGAGATAAGAATCTATATACTTGAGTAGAATTAATTATGCTTGTAGTAAGAACAACTCTCTCCCTACTTCTATAGACTGTCTTTAATAGAATGATCTCCCCAAATCAGCTCCACATGATGAACTATTTTTCTTCTTTTAAAATAAATTGGATTTTCTTCCTCTAAAACACAG